CTACTGTCCTGAGACTGGGAATCAGGACTTAAAAATTGACCTGATCCATATTTTTGAGCAAGTTGATGGTCATTAATTGGTGGGGCCCTGGCCACGCTCCTTACTGAACCTGTGAGGATGGAAATGGGTCGACACAGTGAATGCCTCTGCTTCATAGTGGTTCCAAAAATGAGAGAAACTGTGATACTGGAGTTGGCATGGCTGAATAAGTGGGCACCCATCATCACATGGAAGGACAGTGACTGAGAGATACAGATGGGGCCAGGGCCTCAAGCCCCCAGTCCAACTGCCAGAGAAGAGACCTCCCAACCACCAGATGCCACCAAACGAGGCGAGAGGGCCACCACCATCACACAACCTTCCCCCAGTGCCCCTCAAATCCCTACGGAGTACTGGGACCTTGCTGACACATTCAGCGAAGAGGATACAGACATGCTGCCACCTCACTGTCCCACCAACTGCACCATTGAGTTTGTGCCGGGGCTAAACTGTCTAAGCCAAATATGTATTCCATGACCCCAAAAGAGATGAAGGAGTTAAGAAGGTACATCAACGCCAATCTTTCCCGTGGATTCATCCAGTCAGTGAAATCTAAGGTGGCCACCCTTGTCCTCTTCAAGGAAAAGAAAGATGGGTCAATGAGGCTGTGCGTGGATTTTAGGGAAATCAATGCTGTATGTGTGGAAAACACCTACCCACTCCCCTTCATGAAGGACATGTTGGCCCATCTGGCCAAGGGGAAGATATTAACCAAACTGGACTTACAAGGAGCGTACTATAGTATTCATATCAGAGGAGGAGACCAGTGGAAGACTGCCTTCAACTGCCCCCCTGGTAGCTTTCAGTTCAGGATGATGCCCTTTGGGTTGCAGGGAGCACCTGCAGTCTTCATGCAACTGAAGCTAACAGAGACTGAGTGGAGGTGGGCAATGTGGGAGAAGGAGGCTTATGTGATCCGTTGGGCCCTAGTGACCTGGAGACATTTCCTCGAGGGTGGTCCTGTGCCTTTCGAAGTATGGACTGATCACAAAAAACTAGAGACACTAAAGACACCCTGCAAACTCTCCCCAAAACAGGTCAGGTGGATGCAATACTTCAAACAATTCAATTTCGAACCACATCCCAGGGGGGAGAACCTTCTAGCCAATGCTCTGTCATGGAAGCCACAATAAGAGATGATACCCTCTCCTCAGACTGTGTCACAGGCACTGATCCAGGGATAGGCCATCTGAAGGCAAGTCATGGACGGAGGGGGCATGACCCAAAAGCTGAAAGATGAACTACCAAATGACCCATGGCACAAAGACAACTCAAGAATACTAACTGCTAAGGATGGACTAGGCTGGAAGGGATCTAAATTGTATGTGCCCAGCAGCTTGCGGCTCCAGGTCCTTCAACAGAGTCACAACTCTAAACAAGCAGGCCACTTCAGCTACCTGAAGACCCTGCACATGTCCAGGCAACAATTCTGGTGGCCAAGGATGAAAAGAGATGTTGAGGACTATGTAAAGAGCTGTGCCACTTGCGTGGTGATGAAGACAAGGTATGTATCCTATCTTCCTCTATGATGCGTTTATCATCGTCGGTGCTCAGTGTTAACCTCTTTGGTGTACATGTCATGAGGGATCTGATGATGTTCATTTTTCTGTACTGTTTCTGACCGTTGAACAGCATTTTCTTATAGTCGTTATGGGTGAGTGACGCTGTTTTGAGGCTTCAGTGTTGCCACACTAGAGTGAGGGATAGAGAGGGGGAAATAGAGATATGTCAGGATAATGATGTAAGGCTAGGAATGAGTCAGCAAGGTTTTTTGTCTGATATCACTTTAAGAACCTATAATAAGAAAAGGCCTTATTGGGGCATATCTCTCTCTCCATGTGTGCTTCCGTGCTGTAATTGCTGATTGCTGTTTGTTTGAGGTCTGACTAAAGTATGTGTATGTATATATTCTTTGTAGATAAAACCACTATTTAAATACAAACCTTTGTTTAACGTATTTGCTCCTGGATTGTCTCACATAGTCACACTGTGTGCACTCTGACAAGATAGCTGGGGCTTGTAGCCAAAACAAAATATTTTCTCCTGGGAACCAAGGACATTCCCACAGGTGGTTAGAGCAAAGAGGAGTGAAATTACCAGGCAACTGGATGACTCTTTGATTGGACCATGTGACTGATTGTTTGGGGAAGGCAGAAAATGTTTACTTTTAATTAGGTAAAAACCACAGGAACATTCAGAGTTGGTTTTCACCAGCCTGTGCCAATATGGTATATCCAATGAATTCTTTGAGGAATTTACCTGCCTCAGAGTTCTGTTTTGCTATGGGTGTATTACTTCGAACCCTGACATTAAATCAACCATCCTAATTTTGTGCCCCAACCAGAGCAGTTCTCCGGGGTCCTGAGCCCTGGCTGCTCACCCAGTCTACCCCAAAGAAGGAAGACTCAGGGAAGACAATGGGATGAAGAAGAGAGGGGACAAGGCTGCAGAAGCCTGCAGTGGGGTCCTGGAAAGCCTACAGCCCCCCTCAGAGACCCAACGGGTGGCAGAGGCAGAGATTGTGCACCAAGTGGGCACCTGGCCCAAACTTTGCACCAGGTGGCCAGTCACCAGGGACCTGTATCAGGTGCCCCAAGCTCCTGATATTGGTGTGTGGTGTTTGGAATAATGTGTGTATGGATGTGCATGCACAGTGAAGTGCAAGGGACAAAACTTCCCTACATCCACGCAGAGCTGTTAAACATCAGGTTCACAAGTCAATCCAGGATTACCAGTGATTTTCAGCAGTCCCACAACATACCAGACTGCATGGCGAGGCTTCCAAGATCTCCATGGATTGTCATTGGGTCGGGGAGGTGCCGATGGAGGTGAAAGGAGCAGAAAAAAAAGTGCGGCTGTAGCACCGGTCTGTTGGCTTGGCTTCGAAAGCAGCCCCATAGATCAGCTCTGCCTAGCATCTTTTTGACCAACACCAGATCTCTCATCTACAAAATCGATGAATTACAGCTGCAGATGGCAGGAAACAGGCTTATCCATGAAAGCTGTGTGATGACTGTCACAGAGAGTGGGCTACATCCATCTGTACCAGATGCGGCAGTGGAGTTAATCATGACATATATCGCTCCGATAGAAATGGCGACTCCAATAAGAGAAAAGGAGGAGGACTCTGTATCTATATACATAGCGACTGGTGTTTTAACAGCAGAGTAACATATGCATACTGTTCCCCAGACGTGGAACTGATGACTGTCACTTGTAGGCCTTTTTATCTGCCTAGAGAAATCACTGTGATAATTATTATACTGTTTATATTCCACCTGATGCCAATGTCAGCATGGCACTTTCTAAGCTATATCTCGAGGCAGCAGCAAACTCATCCAAAGGGTGCTCTTGTCGTGGCTGGGGATTTTAACCAAGCTTGTCTAAAGACAGTTCCCCCTAGGTTTGTGCAGTATGTGCAGTTCCCCACCAAAGGGAAGAACACTTTAGACCGTATGTACTCTAACTTGAAACAGGCTTACAGAGCAATCCCCCTCCCCCACCTGGGTTCATCCGATCATCTTTCTCTGCTGTTATGCCTGAAGTATGTTCCTCTCAGGAAAAGAACCCAGCCAGTCAGAAAACTGTTAAAATCTGGCCAGAGGGTGGTCTCAGTTGGCTGCAGGACTGTTTTGAAACCACTTTGAACATCCAGAACTGTATGAATACACCGATGCTGTACTCTCTTACATCAAAGTGTGCACAGATAACATAACAGTGGACAAGTGCATCAGAGTCTACGGGAATTGTAAACCCTGGATGACTGCAGAGGTATGAATGCTTCTGAGAGCCCAGAATTCCACCTTTAAGGCAGGGGACAGTGATAAATACAAAGAGGCCAGGGTAAATCTATGAACAGGCATTAAGATGGCAAAACAAAAATATAAATAAAAGGTGGAGAACCATCTAGCAGACCACAACCCAAGGCAAGTGTGGCAGGGAGTGCAGCACATAACCAAATATAAGGGCAACATGAGGAAGACAGCCAACTCTGATGCCTCTTTGGTAGAGGAGTTGAACACCTTCTTCGCCCACTACGAGATGAAAAGACCTGACCCTGTAGCCTCTGCCTGCCAGCCCTCTAACTTCTAGCCACTCATCTTGTATGAACACCAAGTGAGAGCTGCATTGAGGGCTGTGAACCCCAGCAAAGCAGCAGGTCCAGATGGGGTGCTGGGGATAGTGGTAAAGACCTGTGCCAACCAATTAGCAGAGATCCTGACAAGAATCTTTAACATCTCCTTGAAAATGGCCAGTGTTCCATCATGCTTGAAAGCAGCCACTGTCATCCCAGTCCCTAAGAAAACAGCAATTAACTGTCTGAATGACTATAGACCTATTGCATTAATGACTGTAGTGATAAAGAGCTTTGAGAGATTGGTTCTTCAACATCTTAGGTCATGCCTCCCACTAAATTTTGACCAATACCAGTTTGCCTACAAGGGGAATAGGTTGACAGACAATGCCATAGCTCCTGCTTTACATTTCATAGTGAGTCATCTGGAAACTATGTCAGAATGCTTTTCTTAGACTACAGCTCAGCCTTCAACACCATTCTGCCAAGCATCCTTATCGAAAAGCTGATTGACTTTAATTTTTCCCTCTTCCATCTGTGACTGGGTTAAAGACTTTCTAACAGACTGGCCACAAACAGTGAGGGCTGTGTCTTTCATATCCTCCTCCCTGAAGCTCAGCACTGGCTCTCCTCAGGACTGCGTGCTCAGTCCATACCTGTATTCATTGTACACATATGATTGTGTATCATCTGACCCATCCACTGTGATTATCAAGTTTGCAGATGATACCACCATATTGGGCCTCATTACAGGTGGAGATGAAGCAGCATACAGGGGAGAGGCTCAAAAATTATTCACATGGTGCTCAGAAAACAACTTGCATCTGAACATCAGCAAGACAAAGGAGATGGTGCTAGACTTCCAGAAGAAGAAAGAGGAACCTACCCCAGTTTACATCAAGGGGGGCTGTGTGGAGAGAGTCCCCTCCTTCAAATTCCTGGAAGTCCATTTTAGCGAAGATCTCACCTGGAAAAATAACACAATCCAGATAGCCAAGAGGGCCCAACAGAGACTCCATTTCCTCAGGGTCTTGCAGAAGAATAAGGTGGAACAACAACTGATGACTTCCTTTTACCGGTCCACAATAGAAAGCATCCTCACTTATTGAATAATGGTATGGTATGCTGGCTTGACAACCGTGGATAGAAAAATACTACAGAGGGTGATGAGCACAGCACAAAACATCATGGGCTGTCCCCTGACACCACTAGATGAAATCACTAGGACTCACTGCCTTAGAAGAGTGAGGAAAATCTTTAGAGATGACTCACACCCTGGTCAGCACCTCTTTACTCTCCTACCATCGGGCAGGAGATATAGAAGCATAGCCAGTCATATGAACAGGCTGAAAAACAGCTTTTATCCATGGGCTATCAGACTCCTGAATGCCACATAACATCATAAGTATGTAGTATGATAGACTTGCAGGACTGGCTCAATTAAAAAGAGCCTTGGTAGTACAGCGGTCTAAGGCACCCTGTTATTAAGCTGGTTATTAAGACCAGCTGCCTGCAATTGCTGCAGGTTCGAATCTCGCCAAGGCTTAAGGTTGACTCAGCCTTCCATCCTTTCTAAGGTAGGTAAATTGAGGACCCAGTTGTGGGGGCAATAAGCTGACTTTGTATAAATATACAAAAGGATGAAGGCTATTGCTGAGCACATTGTAAGCCGCCCTGAGTCTCCGGAGAAGGGCGGCATATAAATCAAATTAAAAAAAAAAAGTGCAACATACTCATATTGGCGCAATATATTATAATGTAATGTTATGCACATCTATGTATAGAGGATTGTGTGTTTCTTAGTATGATTTACTGGGTTAGGGATTTTCTTTCTTTCTTTCACTGTGAGTTATTGAGATGTATTGTGTTGGGGGGGTGCACTAAGGGAGGCTCAGCCAATCTCATTGTACACATGTTGTGCATTGACAATAAAGGCTTGAACTGAATTGAATTTTCTTTTTTAATTTGATTTATATGCCGCCCTTCTCCGGAGACTCAGGGCAGCTTACAATGCGTTAAGCAATAGCCTTCATACTTTTGTATATTTATACAAAGTCAGTTTATTGCCCTAATAATCTGGGTCCTCATTTTACCTACCTTAGAAAGGATGGAAGGCTGAGTCAACCTTGAGCCTCGTGAGATTTGAATTTGCAGTAATTGCAGGCAGCAGATATAAGTGGATGTTAATAACAGTGCTTTAGTCTGCTGAGCCACCAGAGCTCCTGGTGGCTCAGGTGCTCTGGTGAAAATTGAACACAATCCTCAAATGGAGAGTGAGGGGAATGCTGGACCTGAGTGACTCCAGATATTGGAGATACCAGACCATGGTGTGCAGCCAGAAACCTTGGAGGAGTTGCCGGAAAGGTTCGACTGGCTGAGGCTTGGCATCTTGTGGCACTCGCACTGGCGAGTGGGGGTGATCCTGAACCAGCTGACTTTGACATCCCCCCCCCAGGGGGACCGGTCCACTACCGCAGCAGCCTGGCCAGCCAGCCCTATGGTGCTTTATTCAATGCAGTCAAGCTCAGGACTGTTTCCTCCACAGCAGGAATGATCTATTGCCACAGCATCCCAGATGACTAGCCCTTCGCCGCATCCTTCAGCACAGTCAAGCCCAAGACCACAGCAAGATGCAAAAGAGCAGCTAGCCTATCTGGGCAGCCCCAGTTTCTGCAGGGTTTATAGATGCCACCTGGCTGGGCCTACTACCCGGGTTATGGCTGGGTCTAAGACCAGTGGATCCCTGCCCCTGTGCCACCACCACCTCCACTGCCAGCCCGCCCTGCCATGTTTCAGAGCTACTTTCAACAGAGACCCCAGACAAGCTGGCATTCTACCTGAACCAGCATGGGTGCACATCGATGAATACGGGGATGACTACCCCAATGATCAAGCAATAGTTTGGGCGATCACTGACAACCTAACGGGAGAAGCGGCAGAGTAGGTGGCCCAACTACACAATGAGGACATGCCAGAATTGGGAAACATTGATGTTTTCCTGCAGGAGCTGAGGGCCAGATTCAAGGACAAATCCCAAGCCCAGGAAGCTGAGGCGGAAATCAAGGGAATCAAGCAAAGAGGCTGCCCAGCCAAACAGTACATCCAAGAGTTCAGAAGAATTGCTGGCAAGCTGCGGCACTGGCCTGAGTGACTCCTGGTCTACTTCTTTAAGGCTTGGACAAGGAGCTGCTCCACACCTGCATCTGCCGAGGGGTTCCTGACCGAATCCACGAGTGGTACCAGATGGCAGTGGCCATGGACCTCAAGCTCCACCAGCACAAGAAGGGAGGATTGACTGATAAGAAACCCAAAAGCCAACCTGAATGGCAACAACTCAGCTGGTGATCCAGCCCCCACCAAGTGGAAGAGAAGCCAAGGGGAACCTCAATGATTAAATGCTTCCGATGCAGCGAGCAAGACCACCGAGCAGCTGAGTGCCTGGCTCCAGCCCCCATCCCACAAATAAAGACCTCAGAGTTGCCCAAGCCAAAAAAAAAGCACCACAAAAAGCTACAGAGAGGGGAAAAATTGCCCGCCAAGATGTTGAGCTCCCCCCTCCCCCTCAATAGAGAAGAGGGAACTCTGGTCCTAGAAGCCCAGCTGCCAATAGCCTATGACAACAACGACAACAGCAAGGATGACCCGATGGTAAGTGAAATCATCTGTCCATTCGCCATTCAGTCGAGGCTAGTTGTACCTAAGACAGGGGCACAGGGGGAAGTAGAAGCAATCATAGACATGAGCTGTACCAATTGTCTAATCAGTCTGCCCACAGTCCTGAATCTAGGAATCAGGACAAAGCCCCTAGCCAACCCCATATGCTTTGAACAAGTTGATGGGTCACTAATAGGGGGAGCCCCTGCCACACTCCTCACCAAACCCATAAGAGTAGAGATGGGCTGGCACTGGGAGTTGATCCTGTTTGTAGTGGCATCAAAATGACAGAAGCAGTGATTCTAGGCCTGGCATGGTTGGACAAATGGGACCCCATCATCTCATGAGAAGGTGGCTACAGGAAGCTGAAGCTGGGAATAGGCCCTCTACCACCCCCAACACTGCTGGGGAAGGAACTGTCCAGCGACTGAATGGCACTAAGCAAAGCAAAGGAGCTGCTGCCACCTCACAGCCACCCCCAGGCACTCCCCAGATCCCCACGAAATACTGGGACTTAGTCAGGATGTTCAGTGAGGAGGACTGCAACATGGTACCCCACCACCACCCCACAGACTGCATCATACAAATTTTACCAGGAGCAAAACTACCCAAGCCAATGATGTACTCCATGACCCCCAATGAGATAAGAACTGAGAGAGTACATTGACACCAACCTAGCCCGGGGATTCATACAGCCAGCTAAGTCCAGAGTGGCCACCCCAATCCTCTTTAAAGAGAAAAAAGACAGGTCGATGAGGCTCTGCATTGATTTTAGGGAAATTAATGCCATACGTGTGGAGAACACATACCCACTCTCTCTCATGAAATACATGCTGGCACACCTAGCCAAGGGGAAGGTGTTTACCAAGCTAGACCTATGAGAGACATACTACCAGGTGCGAATCAAGGAAAGAGACGAGTGGAAGATTGCTTTCAATTATCCCTTAGGGAGCTTCCAATTCAAAGTAATGCCCAATTATAATGATTTAATTACAATGATACAACAGCTCAAAATGTATTAACATGGCTTTATATATAACATTTAATTTATCTGAAATCTGATTAATGGAACAAAATCAACACTTATGTGTTAATGTATTACTTATAAATCAAGAACTTAATCATATTAGCGTATTACTTTAACACAAATCAAACTTTTTAAAAAAGATAAAACCTTAATTTGAGATAATTATTTCATTTGATTAATAAGTTTTAAATTAAATGTTCTCATGACCCCATCACTTGGGCAAGCTATGAATTAATTGTACTTCATGCAATAGTCCAGACTACTTTTTGTTACTGATATGGCCATGTTTTATAAGAATTTACCTTCACAGTATACACTGTCATCTCGAAGAGATCGGAAACCATCTCGGCAGCTACAAACTGACTTTTCTTCAACATTTCTGCAAAAAGAATTCTCTAAACACTTATGTCCTTCAGAGCAAAAATCGTGGCCTAAAAACAAACAAACAAACTCTAAGTGATTGACATTACAGAAATATATTGTAGTGATCCACTAAACATGAACCAAAGCAATGAAAATGAATGCTTCTTTATTAGAATTCCCTCTAACAATGATTCCTGGGCTCCCCCCCCCAAACTTCACCAGTAGGTCAACAATATATTGGCCAAGAATTGTAGAGGAGATAGAAAAGGTACATCAACAGTCATGAATAATTACATGGATAAGAAAAGCTCCCAAATTCTATATTGGGGTATCAAACTCACAGCCTGCAGGCCAGATGTGTCACATGCTGGCCATGCCCATTCATTTTACCAAAGGGAAAAAAAGTTGTGATACGTCACATGATGACAACATGTCATCACAAGTTTGACACCCCTGCTCTATATCAACAGTAATATAATCAGCCAGATATAGCCCTGGTCTTGATGTCAACCCTGATTTACATTTTTTTAAAATCAAAGAATAGACATTTCTTTTAAAATTATTGTTTCTTTCCTCTGGGTCACATGAATTGAATTAGTCTCAAAGGGCACCTTGAATTTGTACAAATGTCAGTGCATATCTCATTCAGATATTTAGCATAAAGTTCACTAATAATGCTTCTTTCCAAGCTGATTGGAAAGAAATGAGCAAGATCAGATTTATCACTTTTCTCAAAGATTGGGACAGTAGCAAAATAGCACTAGTATTTGAACATCTTTTTAGAGCGATCATTCTGTCTAAAGGGAGAAACTGACATGGAAGTCAACTCTACTTCTTAGTTTTCGTTAATAGTATAGAAATTAGATGTCCAATAGCTGCCTTCCCATTTTTAGCTGGTTTTAAGTTTGGAAATTAGAAATTTCTGAAGTTGAAACTGGAGGCCCATGAAAAAAAAAGAGAAAAGGATTGGTAGTTAATTTGGAGGGGGAAGTCGTTTAAACCAACATCATAAATGACATTTAAATACCCGGTTCATCTAGGAAGAGGAATTATATGGTGCATCCTGGCTTCTCTCTGTGCTAGGATATCAATTACCAGAGGAATTTTTTTTTCTTTTGCATCAATTTTCCATTACCATTTGTTGTTTTATTAATTTTATTAAGGCTTGATATCTTTAAGTTGCAAAGTTCATCTTGAAGAAAGGGACCACCTTTCCTTTAAGCTCTGTTGAATGTAAGTAATTGAGACTAGGATTTTACAGATTTTTCATCAAGCCAAGTTTGTAGCCCTAAGGTAATTCTCTGACTAATTAGAGACTTTACTTTTAAAGACCTCAGAACAGAAGTAATCAACTAATGAAATATTTTTAGAAATTTGTTCTGAGACCATTATATAAAGTTTGTTTCAGTTGGAAGACAATAGAAACTAAAAGAAAAAAAGAAAAGTAATGCCTTTTGATCATCTTATTTGAAAACCGTTGTAGATAGTTATATTATCCTCATTTTCCTGTCTATTTGTCATAGAATAGAAGCTAACCTTGTAATAAGAGGATAATGACCAAATTGGTAGTAATTGAGGTACAGGTGATGATTTGTGATTTGAATACTGCGTAAAACTAATTTGAAGGAAGAGGCCCTTATTCCAGGTAATTCTTGTAGATAAGTTTGACTTCTGGGGGAAAAAAGCATCACTTCAAACTTATACTTATACAGATTCTTACCTAATTATCGATAACACAAGATTCTTAAAGTGTCTTATAAGAGATCAAACAATGTAGATCTAGACCTACAGAACAAGAGGAGAAATACTTGCTACTTTTTTTAACACTGATCATTGTTAACAGGCCTTTACCTAATCCTAATTATTTATACATGTTGTCTTTGTCCCTCATAGAAGGGCTTTTACTATAGCATGACCATAATCATTTTAACCATCATTATGACTAATGCATGATCAGAGAGATATATAGCAACCTTGCCTTCCAGGACTGGACTGGCCCTATGTATATGTATATATTTCCTATTCTTTGCTTTTGTATTTTTGTATTTGATACTTATAAACTAATAAAAAGGCCAACACACACACACACACACTAATAAAAAGGGGTGTGTGTGTATATATATCTATATCTATATCTATCTATCTATCTATCTATCTATCTATATCTTTTTATTAGTTTATAGTATCAAATACAAAATACAAATAATACAGAAGCAAATAATAGGAAAAATAGGGAAGGGAAGAGGGAAGGGAAGAATATAGAAAAGAAGGGGAAAAGAAAGAAAAGGTGTTGACTTCCGATTTCCTTTGGTGCAGTAAAATAAGATAGTAACATCAAACCTCAAGTTTTTACTTTTATAGAATAGTATAAACTAGCCATTTCTATATCAATATATCTATCTGATTGGTAAAACCCAAAATCAAAGTTTCATTTTTTTCCCATTTCAAGCACAAAGTCCAGAATTGGTTTCCAAATAGAAACAAAAGTAATTATGTTTTTTTCTTTTATCAAAGCAGTTTAGCCATCTCTGCTAACTCCATCAACTTTTGCAGCCATTCATCTTATCTGAAGAAAAGTATAAGTATTCAATCAACATCTCAGACTCAGCACGGCTACCCATTGTATTATAGTGTCACTCAGAATTAATATTGCTTCTTGTAAACTATTCCAACTATATAACATAATGGTATGTTGAGAATTTACAGAATAGCATTAGCATTTAGACTTATATTCCACTCCACAATGCTTTACAGCCCTTTCTAAGTGGTTTATATTGCCCCCAACAATCTGGGTCCTCATTTTACCGACCTCAGAAGGATGGAAGGCTCAGTCAACCTTGAACCTGGTGAGATTCAAATTGCCAAATTGCAGGCAGCTGGTAGTCAGCAGAAGTAGCCTGCAGTACTGCATTCTAGCCACTGCGGCTCTTAGAATACTTTAAAGAAATTGATAAATCGTCAGATATCTCAAAAAATGTTGCTCAGTCATGAGCATAAATTACATGATCCTTGCTATTTTCATAATTAAAACTGTGTTTTTTTAAAAATGAAATGGTTATGCAAATGTTTGGCGAATAGAACTTGGTGAAAATACACTTTGTCACATAAGGGGTACCTCAAGATTATTCCAACAAATTTCTACCTCTTCAGCAACTCCACAATAATTGCAGGCAGCCGGCAATCAGCAGAAGTAGCCTGCAGTATTGCATTCTAGCCACTGCGGCTCTTAGAATACTTTAAAGAAATAGATAAATTGTCAGATATCTCAAAAAATGTGAGAGAAATGAAATTGACACATGGAATTGACACCTATGCCAACTGAACAATTATTGTATGCCAACCATACAATAATTGTTCAGTAGTAAGTTATCTACAGAACATCATTCACTTTCAAGAAATTTTCATGTCAATTTATGCTGCATCTATTTCACATATATTGTATACTGGTAAGTATTTTTTTAAAAGTTTGCTAAGTTAGCATATTACAATAAAGGAGTAAATATGGTATTAAACAGCTTAGACTGTATTTTTCAGTCTATAAGATGTACTTCCCCAGCAAAAAATTGGGTGGAAATGTCTGTGCGTCTTATAGAGTGAATGTTGCCGAAGCCCCTTCCACCCACTAGCTTCCACCCTTCAGCCTCTGCCTCCCAGCAATTTGCCTCCTTGCAGCAAACAGCAAACAGCCTGGTCAGCTTCAGCACAGCCTGATTTAGCATGAGCAGCTGATTGGCAGTTGGAGCTGCCTCCTGGAATACCGCTGATCAGCTGTTCCAGGCTGTGGGGATTGCATCACCACCATTGCTGCCCATCGCTGCTGCCACCTATCGCTGCCTCCGCGCGCCCTGTTTTCAGCCCGTTCCAGGCCTTATCTTACCTTTACAAAGTTTGCAACAACTTTTAGATAAGGATATTTGTTCAGGCTCAGGACAGTTCAGAGCAGGACAATTCGACTCCATTGTACGTTGCATTTTGTAATTCTATTAAATCAAGATCATTATTTATGTTGGCTATGAATATATTTTTGGCATAATTATATCATTCAATAAAAATACAAGTGCATAATTAATATCCAGTTGTATTCACATAAATAATCTGGGTAGAAACCATTTGGAATCTCTTTTGTTTATAAATCATTATTGTGCTATCTGTTTATTTTTATTGTTTCACATGGATTTACTAGTCAGATGTTATCTATTTCATCATACTGTTGGTCATATAGTCAAATATCATACTTAACATATTTGTGTGATTTTGACAGAAGTGGAAAATTCTGAAGGGTGATATGAGTTTTAGTATATCTACTTATCCTAAGTATACAACCTAAGTATGCTTGCTTGTCCTAAGTATGGCATCCTAAGTATGCCTAGCTAACTGAAAGAGAAATAGGGTGCCTTGGTTATTTCAGAGTTCTTTTTTAAATTCAGCTAGTTACACTGTGTATATCTATAAAATCACATTCTAATTTGGCTGCCCAAAGCACCTCCTCCAAAATTAAAAATTGGAAGCCCCAGCTATTTATTAGCAAATGTTTATTTCCTTCCCTCTGAACATCTGTCACAAATAAAGGCATCTTTCAAAGGAATCTTTGTCTCTATATCCAAACTCTGAATTGATTGTAACTGGTAATTTTAATGCAAGAATGGATTCTTATTATAAGCTATTTTTTCTTTACATTTTAATTTTTCAGCTATAAGCTTGTTCTACGTTACTATTCCCAGTATAAGGGCATCAAGAACAGGAGGCAGAGTTTTGTCTAATTGATTATTAAAAATGATCCACAATGACTTAAATGGCTCAGTGCCTGGCAGTTCAGAGTAGGGGTGTGTGTCTTACCTTCTACTGACAATGGGCACAAACACAATAAATTAAATCTCCTACTTCAGTTGCTCAGCATAAACAGCATTCATTCACCATTAACTTACTACTAATACTAGGTTAATTGGACATTAGAGACCATTCAGTTTAGGTACCCTTCTATTCTAATTTCTCAATATGTCAAAAATATCTAAACTTAAGCTTTAATTTACATGAAAAGTGCCCATGTAAATTTAACTTATACCAGCGAATGATAAATATTATACAGAAGTTGTTAAGATCTACATTAATGCCTCATCTGTTCAGAACTCTATTCCTAAACTTTCTTAATTCTGTTTTGATAAAGAATGTGATGATAGCCATTTTTTAAATGAATTATGCTACTGAAACTTTTGCCATGTATTGTTGCAGAATCTCTTTAATAGCTCTTGCTCTTAGTGAACAGTAGTGAATAACTCTACTGTTGGTTTTGAGTGTATAACTGAGGTCATTAAAAAGAATCGAGAAAGATAAATTATAGATGACAAGCAATATATTATATCATTTATGTTATGCATAAACTTAGTTCTTTGGGATTCTCCTTTTGTCATTAACTAACTAAATATAAAACAGCTGTAAAGATATCTACAACTCTGCCTCACCAAAAATTATGGCTTGAGAAAGAAAAAGGCAACAGTTTTAACCCCTCACCAATTCAAGAGTGAAGTTCGACAAATTATTAACCCAGATATAAAACTGAAAAAAACCCTTTCAATAGTATGAGTAATGATATAATTGTATTAAATTGTATCAGATATAATGCAGCATTAAAAACTGCAACTAACATAAAAAGTCAAAAGGATTGGGGGGAAAATAGTATATTCTTCAGAATGCTGTCAGGAAAAAATGGTTTGGACTGTGCAATTTGTGTTACAAAACTAATGGTTATTGCATTCAAAAAATGGGGGAGACTGTCAGATTGCACTTTCTAGGAAAATCTACAGTAGTTCTTATAGCCAACAATGGTGCATCAAAAGTTTTCTTGAAAATAAGTGAAGCTGTATTTCCAGGCCATACTGCTGCAACATATTTTTCTTTAAATATTCCTAGAACATTGCCTTTCAGAACATTGCCTTAAAGGAAGTTGCTATTGAGATAACCCAGATCTCATTATCCTCTAAGAGTAAACTCAGTTATTCATTAATGTAGCAAATATTTTCTTCATGTTAAATTCAAAACATATTCCCCTCATCATTTAAAACAGATTTAAAACTATTCTGAAATTCCATATAGGATGTGCACCAAAATTAATGACATTTAGGATACTCAAGTTTATTTTAGTGGAGTTGCCCTTATATATATATATATAAATAGATATAAATATATATACTGTATATATTTAATAAGTATGTATTAAATATTGTATGTATTTAATAATTGGCAAAAAACTGAATGCAGCTTTAAAAAGAAATAAAAATTGGAGAAATAATTGAAGGAATATATGTTGTCTTGTGAAAAACATTTGTGACAATTAATAAAGCAGACATATTTGTGTGTGTGTGTGTGTGTGTGTGTGTGTATCAGCATACTACGGAGCTCAACTAATTTCTCAACTAAAATAAATAAATGGAGATGCACCCAAAATTGTAGAAGCAGCATATTACATAAAAAATGCAATGAAATTATGAAAGGATTAAGAGCAATAATAAGTGGGGAAATGACCTGGGAGAACATAGTTAACAACCCTAAAATTGTTCTTATAAACTTCAAATATCCTATGAAGTATTTATAATCCCTATTAACCTTATTATGAACAAACATGCAATTTTTAAGAAGGATCTTCCACTTAAAAATGATATGGAAAAATGTACATCAACTTGAAAAAACCATCATTGTTATTTTTATAACATCTTCTGAAGTTTATTTATAAAATTGGAACAAATTACAGGGGAAAGAGAAATTAAAAGTAATCTTACCTTGCATTCAAACAGAATACAGACCTCTGAGTCTAAATATACTGATTGTCTGTCTCCTTCAAAATAGATTTTGCCTTCAAACACACAGATTGCTATAAAGTTAAAAAGCAGAACAATACTTTGGTACTTGGATTTTGTATAACTATATGATGCTCCAAGACATGTTTACACCACGTAACAGAAAACTCTAGATATTAGACATCATTTAAATATCACTTAGAAATATAGCAATTCTTACTAGAATTAGGTGTACAATATTGCATTTGTATGTGAGAAAATGATTATTCAGACTAGGATCATTCTGTTTTCCTCTTGTTGTTGAGCAAAAGAGACAGAAAGGGAAGCAGTAATTACAACTTTACTAAATAGTAAATAAATACTTACTTTTACAACTTACATTTAAACAATAACCTGTTAAACCTGAATCTATAAGAACGTTGTTATTGGTATTTTAATGAAAATGCAGGCAATATATACTTCATTTTATTTTAAAGTTTGCAAAACACTTTTGAAATATAATTAGTATCATGTATACAATTTATGTATCATATATACATAATCATATGATTTAATAAGCAACAGAGCAAGATGGCTGCAGGAGTGGACACGTTTATTCCCTCCATCCCACCTACCAAATAATATAATTAATATTCTAATAAGATCATGTTTTAATTTACTCCCTGAGAAAATTCCCTGAGAATACATAAACCTTCATCCTTCAATTAAAAATTTGAAAACGCTACTTAGATATGTTTTAAAGTAATCCATAAAATTAGGTGATAAGAAGAAAAGCAGCAAATCAGATTTGCAACATATAATTAAATAGTCACTGAACATTATTCTTGAGCATTAGCCATAATCATATGAGACACATGATTACTATCCTCTTAGTTCTTTCTGTAACTGTAGCCTGCATGAATAAGAATTCAAATCGGCAATTACATAAATACTCTTAAATTAACCTTTTTCACTGTCCCTGGTTTTTTTAACCATGACTTCCCCAAAGATCTCTTTTCCAAAAAGCAACTGGAATCCTGGAACATTGGGAAACTACCTGAGGATTGGAAAAGAGCTGATGTGATTCCCATCTTCAAAAAAAAAAAAAAAAAAGTGGGGGGGGGAGTAGACTCAGGAAACTACAGACCAATCAGCCTAACATCAATACCTGGGAAGAAAGTGGAAAAGATAATCAAAAAACAGATCTGTAAACATCTAGAAACAAATAAAGTTTTTTTATTTATTAGTTATTTATTATTAGCCAGCATGGGTTTGTTAAAAACAGATCATGCCAAACCAATCTTATTTCATTCTTTGACAAAGAGACTAAATTAGTAGACCAGCAAAATGCTGTGGGCATAGTATACTTAGACTTCAGCAAGGCATTCAAGAAAGTAGACCACAACATACTTCTTCGTAAACTAGAAAAATGTAGGATAGACAGCATCACCACCTGATGGATTTGTAGCTGGCTGACAAACCACACTCAATGAGTCATCCTTAATGGTACTACATTTACATGGAGGAAAATTATGTAGTGGGGTACCACAAGATTCTGTCTTACACCAGGAATTCTTCAATAACTTCATAAATGACTTCTTAGAATAGAAGGGAAACTCATCAAATTTGCAGATAACACTAAACTGACAGGAATACCCAACATCCCAGAAGACAAGCTGAGGATCCAAAAAGATCTTGACAGACTTAACAATGGGGCTATCCAACAAAATGAAATTTAATGTGGAGAAAAGCAAAGTTTTATACCTGGGCAGGAAAAACCAAAGGTACAAGTACAGATTAGGTGAAACCTGGCTCAAAAACAGGAGCTGTGAGAGGGATACAGATTAACAGAGTTGGAAGGGATCTTGTAGGTCATCTAGTCCAACACCCCCCACAGCAGATCCTACACCATTTTTACAGATGGCAGTCCAGTCTCTTCTTGAAAGCTTCCAGTGATAAAGCTCCCACAACCTTTGAAGGCAAGCTGTTCCATTGATTGATTGTTTTCACACTGTCATAAAATTTCATCTTATTTCCAGGTTGAATCTCTCCTTGTTCAGTTTCCATCCATTATTCCGTCTCTGGCCTTCAGGTGCTTTGGAAAATAGCTTGATCCACTCCTCTCTGTGGCAGCCCCTCAAATATTGGAACATTGCTATCATGTCTCCCCGGGCCTTCTCTTGACTAGAGTAGCCATGCCCAGTTCCTAAAACCGTTCTTCATATGTTTTAGCCTCCAGTCCCCTAATCATCTTGGCTGCTCTTCTCTGCACTCTTTCTAGAGTCTCAACATCTTTTTTATAGTGTGGTGACCAAAACTGGATGCAGTACTCTAGGTGTGGTCTTAGTAAGGCCTTATAGAGTGGTATTAGTACCACACTTGATCTTGATTGTATCCCTCTGTTAATGCAATTTAGTATTGCACACTGTTGGCTCATTTAATTGGTTGTCCACTAAGACTCCAAGATTCCTCTCACAGTTACTGCTATTAAGACAGGTTTCACCCAGTCTATATGTGTACTTTTTGTTTTTCTTGCCTAAGTGTAAGACTTTACTTTTCTCTACATTGAATTTCATTTTGTTAGATAGGGCCCAGTGTTCAAGTCTGTCAAGATCCATCTGGATCTTGAGCCTATCATCTAGGGCAGTGATGGCTCACCTTTTTGCCATCATGTGCCAAAAGCGGGGGGAGTGCAGGGGGGTTGCGCATGTGTGTGCCCACACCCATAATTCTATGCGTCCCACCCCCCCACGCATATGTGTGTGACCCCCCCTGCACTCCCCCCGCTTTTGGCGTGTGTGTGCCCACACACTGTGGGCCCATTTTTTGCTCTCCCCAGGCTCCAGAGCCTTTCTAGGAGCCTGTGGAGGGCGAAAATAGCCTTCCCCACCCCCCGGAGGCCCTCCGGAGGCTGGAAACGGCCCATTTCCCTACTTCCAGTGGGCCCAGAAGGCCTGAAAATCAGCTGGCTGGCGTATGCATGCACGCCGGAGCTGAGCTCGCGTGCCCACCGATATGGCTCCGTGCGCCACCTGTGGCACGCGTGCCATAGGTTCGCCATCACGGATCTAGGGTGTTGGCTATTCCTGCCAGTTTAGTATCATCTGCAAATTTGGTAAGTTCCCCTTCTATTCCCTCATCTAAGTCATTTATGAAGATATTGAAGAGTACTGGGCCTAGGACAGAACCTTGTGGTTCCCTACTGCTTACTTCCCTCCATGTAGATGTAGTACCATTAAGGAGTACTTATTGAGTATGGTTTGTCAGCCAGTTACGAATCCATCTGATGGTGATGCTATTTATCCCACTTTTTTCTAGCTTACCAAGAAGTAGGCTGTGGTCTACTTTGTCGAGTGCCTTGCTGAAGTCTAAGTATATTATGTCCACAGTATTTCGCTGGTCTACTAATTTAGTCACTATGTTGAAGAATGAAATAAGATTGGTTTGGCATGATCTGTTTTTAACAAACCCATGCTGACTTCTAGTTATTACTTTATTCATTTCTAAATGTTGGCAGATCTGTTTTTTTATTATCTTTTCCAGTACCTTGCAAAGGTTTTCCAAGTAGATCACAGAACTGACTTGGAAGAAGCAGGATAGAAACAATATTGATGCTTTTGAACTTTGGTGTTAGAGAATATTCCTGAGAATAAACTAATGATTGTTAATAAGTTAATGGGTTGTGAATTAATGGTTTTTAATTCAACAAATAAATCGAGTTCTTGTTCAAGACACAAATGTCCACGTTGAAATTATCATATTTTGGATACATATATAAAAAATCTAACTTTCTTGAGAAGTATATGATATTACCAAAGGTTGAATGAGAAAGTCAATAAATTAATTGAATGGATTCTATTTCACTAGAAATGAGTGCATCTTTGATAGATCCAGGTTGGTAAATTTACCATAATTTGCACTGATTCTGTTGGTAGACTACATTCATAGCTGTCAAGTTCCTAATCAATATATTCTATAGATATATAGATATATAAAAGCGAAATACCACTCATGCACAGGGGTGAGTTCTAAATTTTTTACTACTGCTTCTGTGGGCGTGGCTTATTTTGTGGGTATGGCGTGGTGGGGGTAATGTGACTGGGTGGGCATGGCCAACTTTTTTTTTTTTTACTTTTAAAAGCATTTTTTGTACAACCTTAAGAGGTTGCAGGAAAAAATGCTTTTAAAAGCCTTTGACGATCAGGCAACCCAGCTGGAATTGCCAGAGGCTTTTAAAGGCATATTTTTTCTACAACCTCTTCAGCTGAAGAGGTTGTAAAAAAAATGCTTTTAAAAGCCTCTGACGATCCCAGCTGAGCCGCGCGATCATCAAAGGCTTTTAAAAGTAAAAAAAAAAAAAGCCTCTGATGAGGTGAGCGGGGTAAATGAGTGGCCACCGGGCCAGAGACCAGTTCGGGAGCATGGCCAGCCAATGTTATTACCGGTTCTCTGAAGTACTACAAATTTTTACTACTGGTTCTTGTGAACCAGTGCGAACCGGGAGCAACCCACCACTGCTCACGCATCACAAATCTCCAGAACTGTAAAGCCTACAAACTTGAAATTTGCCACATATGTTCCTCTTGGTGTTGTGGCTCCGTTGCCTGAGCCTGGGCTATCGACAGATGCAGACTCTGAGAGTGAGGGGGAGGAGTTGGCAAGGCCTCCCTCTCCAGGACCCTCCTCTCTGGCAATGCCTCCGGAGGACACCGAAGGCCAAACGATAGGCTCAGAGCCAAGCACGTCCCCGCAGCCACAGGTGGACAGCGACGAGGAAAATAAGTGCTGGCTGGACCCTCGCCAGAGGCGCAGGGAGAAGCGTGCGCAGCAGAGGGGAAGGCGTGCCAGAGATTAGCTGAGTCACTGGACCACACCCCACAGGCTATAAAAGGGAGTGTGGTGGCCATTCAGACTCTGTGATGGACAAAGCTAATCTCTGGCGAGGCACTTTGCACCTTCGGACACAACACCTATTTGCTGTGGATTTAATTAAAAATTGGACTATTCAAACTGTGTGTATTTTTGTCTGTGTTATCGGAGTAAAAGCTCTTGGCAGGCAGCCACGGAGTTGCTGCCATGTTCCTTATCACTGATG